CACTCCCTTCAGACCGCTGTGCACACTCACTCCCTTCAGGCCGCTATGCACGCTCACTCCCTTCAGGCCGCTGTGCACACTCACTCCCTTAGACAGCTGTGCACGCTCACTCCCTTCAGACCCCTGTACACTCACTCACTAACCCCTGTGCACGCTCACTCCCTTTGGGCCCCCGTGCACGCTCACTCCCTTAGACCCCTGTGCACGCTCACACACTTCAGACCTCTATGCATGCCAAGACACTTCAATCTGCTGTGCATGCTCACACTCTTCAAGTTAAAACACTGAGTACAGGATGCTGTTTTATAAAGGGAGCGCTGCTTCCCCTCCTAGACTGGACTCGCCTCTGAATTCACTCATGTTCTCCTTAGAACTGCTGCTCTGCTGATTTGAAAATGTCTCGTTTAGTTTAGATTTCAGATTATTTTGTTCTGACAGAGTCTGAAAAAAGGCTAAAACTGATCCGGTTTCATGTAGAAAAATCAGATCTCAGGTGAATGAATAAAGAGAAACAAACATGAAGTCATTTTCCTGACTTTCAGTGACCCAAATGCTCCAAACAGCCCCCATGCCTCGCCCCGTCCTCAGACTGTTTTCTGTCACTCGTGGCCCGAGGAGATGAATTCATGAGGTTTTCTAATGGCCCCCCCTCCACAGACCCCCCCAGCAGAAGCACTTACTGGGCTTTCATGTTGCTTTTCTTCCTTTTTTCTTCTTTGTTGGAGCCTGAATGAGAGGCTGGGAGCCGACGGGCTGCTGGCCTTAATGCTCCTCCACCTACGAGTCGTTTGAGTCTCTCATCCTGGGAGAACAGCCTCCTGACTGAAGTCGCTCCATTATTCATCAAACAAACGACTTCTGATATTATTTAACTTCATTTTCTGCATCCTAGCAGCTACGTTCAAACGGAAATGCTGGGTCAGGGAAGGCAAACAAAAAACTTCATTAAAATCATAATAATGTTTATAAGCAGATGTCCCTTTTATCCTGTTTGATTCTTTTTTTATTATATTTTGAACGATTTCAAAGTATGATGTTTTATAGAACATTTTCCTTTCTTATTTTGATCCTTTTTTCAATTGTTTTTTTCTCTGTTTTTTTTCTCCCTTCTTGTTGTTTACCAGGCATCTTGTCGGGTTGGGTCGAGTCGGGTCGAGTCAGGTTGGATCTTCTCTCTAAAACAATCTGGCAGCAGGACTCTGCTCTGCGAAGCTGAAGCAGAACTTCAGGAATGATGAGATCGAAGCAGAGATGTTTGATCACAACTAACAGAAGCATGTTTGGGTTTTTTAGGACAAACAGCTCTACTGTCAAACACGGCGGTGGAGGAATGATAATTTGGGTCTGAAACCATCACTTAGATGACCTTTACGCTGCAGGTATCAATGCTCAATTCAGATTTTTAGCTGAGAAACCAAACCATGGTCCCAAGCATTGCAGCAGATCTGAAACAGTGTGGCTACAAAGGAAGGATCTGAAACGGTCTAGTCCAAGTCCAGATTGGGAAGTGGAATGGACCAGAACCCTCCCCAGCAATGTGCCAGAGTCAGAGGACCAAGAGCAGGTTCTCCCGGCTGCTGGAGGAGCTGCTGGGTCAGTGGTAGGGTCTGGTTTACGTACATCGGTGATCAGAGTTGAATCCTTCTTAGAGAACCCGGATCAGGTTCTGATCTTCTCCTGTTTCCTGCAGAGCCCTGAAGGATCAACGCCAACGGTCCGACTCATCAGCTCTGATCAGCTATTGATCCGGAGCATTTTCAGTTTGTAAAGGTTCAGCAGAGCGGAAACACAGCTGCTGCTGCTCCCACTGCCAACCGATCCAGCGACCTTTCTGTCGCTTCTCACGTATCTGAGGGTCAAAATCCTGCAGAGACGCTCCGATGAGTCTGAAAAGGGAATCTGAACCCTGAGGAGCAGCAGAGACGATGTTCCACAGCTGGAGTCATCGTCACCCTGATCTTCATCACAGGAAGTGGTGAGAGGGCAGAGCCATTTGAACTGAAGCAGGAAGCTGAGCTTCTTCACTCAGGTCCAGGAAGGAAAGGTGCGAAAGTTCAACAGGAGCCAAAAGCTTCCTCCTCCTCCTCCTCCTCTTCCTCAGGACACCCAAAAGTTCCCTCCTTGGTTTGGATCCATGTTTCTGCTCAGCTGTTTGTTTTCCTTAGAGTGAAACTCCCTGTGAAGGATGAACGTGATCCCAATCTGTTCAGACGAGACGCAGAGCGCTGGCTGAACATCGTTAGCTCCTAACGAGGAGCTGCTGCTGCTGCTGAACGCTTTGCTTTATTACAGGTGAGATTTTCTCCAAAGTGGGAAACATCAGAGAACAAATCGGTGGAATCGATCATTTCTTCTTCTCACTTCAAACACAAACGAGCCGCTCTGAGACTCAGAGAGGCAGCAGCCATAACTCTCACCTTCCTGCTTAAAACTTGCATGTCTTCTCCCCTTATCTCCCCAGAGTCATGCAGAATGCTGCTGGTCTGCGGCACAGACATTTTTTTTTTTAAAAGACAGCTTCCCTTCACAGTCTGACCTGCAGGGTCTGATTTGGGAAAATGTGAATCCTAATCCAGCAGAAATGAAAGGATGAGCAGGTTGCTCTATCTGCTACAGACTCTATCCACACATGAAGCTGCTTCAGTGACTGACTGATTCACCATAGCTGCTCCACGGAGCGCTATCACAGATCCTTCCTCCCAGCAGCCATCACTGCTCCCATCAAACTCAATCCCTTCTTTACATTCCTGCTTTTCTTTGCACAGATTTCCATATTTCTATAGTGCATTTTTTGCTCCACAAATATAATAAAACAAATAATTTGTACCGTTTTTACATGATCTTCATACACCTTGAATACATTTTCAGAGTCTGCAGCTGCTTTTTTCAGTTATGCATTTCTTGTTATTATTATTACTGCTTATTTTTCATCTGCATTCTCTTCCATTTTCCTGTCTCTTTGTAGATACAGTTGAATTTATCCACTTAAAATAAAAGATAAATCTAACCCATTATTATTCCGATGTATGCATTGCACAATAAAAAGGATTTTTACCCTAACTTTCAAAATATTGAGTCAGAATTCAAGCTGATTGATTTTTTTTATTGACTAAAATAATAGGAGCTTATTGTTTTTTATGCTTTTATCAGAACTTGGAAGAGCATCTAACTGTTTAGAGCTCAATTAAACTTTATCTGTGGTTATTTGACTGGGAAACAAAGATAGATTTAATCACTTCACATTGAGTCCAACTTCAAATAACAAAAACCAACAGAGCAGACAAGGTTTCTATGATCAGTTTCACCATCAGACTGATGGAAACACTAAGAGGTCAGATACATACAGGTTTTCATTGTGAATTGATGCAGTTATAATATATAGGACAGTTTTTAAAATATTATATTAAACATTTTTGGTTTTTTTTAATATATATGATATGAAGACATTCAGAAATAAAAGTCCAGATTCTAACTTTTCTCCCTGGGAGGATTTCTGAAGCTGGGCTGTTGACCCAGCAGCTGCAGCAGCAGCAGCAGCAGCTCGGTGCATCCTCTTAAAAACGAGTTTAATTAAAGTAAGAGCTCAGGAAGCATCAGCAGCTGCATTACTTTTATTGCACGGCCACGTTTGTGACAAATGTCCCTGTGACGCATGGCTGCTGGGGGCTAAATGGAGCTCCACCAGGAGAGCACTGGGAGCCTGCTCTCCACGTTCAATTACTCTGCAAACAATCACTGAATGGAACCATCAGACCTGCAACCATCAGACCTGCAACCTGTGAACGGCCACCAGCCTTCCTCCCTGCAGGTGGAGCCTGGCAGCTGCTCAGGGGCGCCCTCTGGTGGCGGCAGGGCGTTCCTTCCTGTGTGAACCAATCATGCTGTGATGCTTCAAAAGGATCAATTAAAAAAAAAAAAAACTGTTGACCTGCTGCTTAATTAAAATCCAACAATGACCGCAGAGACCAATTAGGGAAACTAGACCCCCCCAGCAGGACGAGTCCAATAAAAACTATCTGACCTCAGAGCAGGAGCACGTAGCGCTGCAGGACATTAGATCAAATTAATAAGTGAAACTTTTAAAAACAGCCTTAGGAGAAATATGTTTAAAATAAAAACTGATAAGAAGCTAATAAGAAGAAGCGCGTTTTATAGATGACCTCAGTTTAATAAACAGGAAAACATATTTAATATCAGCGGTATTAGTAACTCTAATCTCCCTCAATTTTATTTATTTATTATTATTATTATTATTTACAACAAAACAACTTAAAAGGACTCAGGTGAGAGGTTTTACTGCTTACCTGCAGCAGGGATCCGTCCAGAACAAAGTTGGGTCTGTGGGGCAGCGACAGCAGCAGGATTCAGATGATGTGTTTCCCCAGAAGAAGCTGATCCTGGAGCGGCAGTAAAGTCCTCAGCAGCGCTGCAGTTTCCAACTTAAAGCTCCGCAGCAGCGCCTCTGTGCGGCGGAGACAAAGATCAGCGCCGGAGTCAAGAGGAGTCCCTCCCCCTGCACCCTGCTGCGGCTCCAGGCGGAGCAGCCAAAGATCAGCGCCGGAACCAAGAGGAGGACCTGCAGCGTCACCACCCAGGCGCGATGCGTTCAATGAGCATCGGAAAACCGGCATTACCTCAAAGGAATCAGATGAAGGTTTTTGAAAATGACTCAATTTCCTACTAACGAATTTCTAAGCAAAACATTTAATTTTGACACTGAAAACTGTTGTTTCTGTGAGGTTGAAAGTGGAAGTCTGGAACACCTTTTCTTTGATTGTACTGTAGTCCAAAGCTTTTGGCTTGATTTTCTGATGTGGATCAAATCTAAAGGAATTCAGTTACCTGATTTGACCATAAGAGTAGCTTTATTTGGTGTAATTGCAAAAAAATCGAACATAATTTTGGTGTTAATGTTTTGATTTTATTAGTTAAATTTTATTTACACAAATGTCGTTACTTAAAATGTAAACCGGTTATATTCCATTGGAAAAATTAGACAAAATCTTATATTAAATCTTTAAAATTTGTAAGAACAAAAAGTGCTGGTAATTTTCTTTCTTTTTTGAGTAAATTTAATCTGCTGGTTTAACGCCCTGTTCTTGAATCTATGTATAATATAATGTAGCCCCTTTTATTATTATTACTATTATTATTATAATTTTATTTTTTACTATTGTTCCCTCTCTGTTTATATTTGGTTTTCCTCTGTATTAAGATATGCTTTATGCACTTTATTTGAATGCAATGAATGTAGTTCTGTACTGGTACCTGGTGTAATGTACATTGGTTAAATAAAAAAATTTAAAAAATCAATTAATTAAAAATGACCAGGGGCGTATTTAGGAAATTTGGGGCCCTAGGCAAAGGCAGGCATGGGGCCCTCTGAACTGAGAAGAAAACACATAAAACAGACCCATTATACAGATACAGACCTTTTAATAGGATAGACATCCATTATTTGTTCTAAGTTTTGTCCCTCTCTTCTTGCCCTGTTTCTTTTTTCTCTTTTTCTTTTCATATTGACAGTGTGCTCAGCTGACTTTTCATGCTGTCTAAAAAAGAATGAAAGATTTCTCCAATCACTACTTAATTGCTCCTTCCTGTGTTTCCAAAATGGCCAAAGTAAATAACCCAGTCCTTCTTTTCACTGTAGACAAGCCATGATCTGCTTACAGTATCTGTTCTTCATTTTTCATTTGGATGAAATAATAGCTGCATGAATTATGACAGCAGACAAGATAGAGGAGAGCAGGAGGCGGGGTTACCAATCTACACGCTCTGGAGAGCAGAGTTCGCTGCTTTTAGATGTTGTCGCCAAACAGAGCATTTTAGCAAAATGATATTTATCAAAAACATAATTAATGTGCACAAATAAGGAACAGTTGTATTAACCAAAATAAAGTAGGCCCCTGAAAATCACCCTAGGTGGCAGAGGTTCTTTGACCTTAAGGGACAGACAGATGTAGCTCAGGATTTAAACTCCAACTGATTCAGATGTAGAAACACAGAAAAAAAATCTTTTTAATTTTAATTCAGTTCAGTTTATATCAACTTCTCCAGACAGATTGGTTTAAAGTTTCTAACAAAGGGAAACCAGCTGATTGCTTCGACTCGATAATTCAGCAGGATCCGCTCCTCCTGGATGAGCATATATGCAGCGACAGTGGAGAGAAAAAAAAAAACCTTCAGCAGAACCAGAACCAGGCTCAGTGTTAGCAGCCTTCTGACAAATCTGACTGAGGTTCAAGAAGACAGAAGCTCTGATCTATAAACACTTTCTATGTTCAACAAGATAACAGCAACTTTATTCGACATCTTGTAGAACTTCCTTCATTAACTTGTAGAATTATTTGATGGATTGATTTTATTGACTTTATTTTTAACTGCTCATTTAGCAAACTATAAGACGTGGGCTCTGTTCGAATATATGGGATGTGTCCTCTGAAGGCCAGATTCGCAGGCCGATTACGTCAAAGCGTGACGCCGAGGTCTGGTCGGCCTACTATTCCTGCAGTGTGGAGATTATAAATCT